ATATATATATATATATATGTATATATACATATACAGTGCTTCCAGAAAGTATTAGCGCACTCATTTTTTTTTACCTTAGAGAACTTTAAAAGATTGTAATTCAAAAACAATAAAAGTTTAAAATAACTGATTGATAATTTTTTTTTCAACTAATTCAAAAAATTATGCAGAATTACTAATTGTTAAATATATAAAAGTATTTCTTTATTATTATCTTGAATTTTTTTTTTTTTTTTTTTTTTATTTTTTTTTTTATTTTACTTCACCTCCTCAAGGCCGAGAAGGCCACTACAGACGAGGAGGCTACTTATTTTGTGGCTATAACCCTCTCTCAACTCTATAACTCCGAAACACGAACCTTGACGAACAAGGCCGCTGCGCGGAGAAACGAGTTGAGCGCGGTACTACCAGGGACTTGGTGGGGATCGAACTCGGAACCACTCGTTTATGAAGTGAGCGCTCTACCACTACACCACTACCGCATTTTAATTAAAATACAATAAGAGTGATAAAAACAATAATAAAAAAGTGTGCAAAAGTATTAGCGCACTTACAGTTTTTCAAAGATTTTAGGAAAATTTAATATTTTATGTGACCACCTTTGTTTTTAAGGCATGCCAAGGCTCTACGCATATGGTATTCCACAACTCTTATACGTATGGTATTCCACAACTCTTCAGAAATGAATGATCAAATTAATAAAACTTCAATTTATATTATTAAACAAAATATCAAAAGACACCATGCTGTCAAAATATATATGGAATTAAAAGATAAAAATATTGATAATTTTATAATGAATTGGTTCATCCTTAAAACAGCAGCTGCATATAACAATATTTCCAAAAAATGCATACTATGTCTTCAAGAAAAATTTTCTATTTGAATTGGTTTTAGAATTTGGGGTGGATGATTTGAGTTAATATTAATATAAAATATTTCATTGTTTGGTTTTTTGAAAGGCTTATTCGAATTTTCAGGGAGGTTAAATGTGACGTCAAGAAAATTCACGATTTTTAAATTTATGTTTATTTCGATTTGAAAGCCAATATTTTTTTTAAAATTTTTATAATGTCTTTTCTAATTTTATCGAGCTGTGGACCAGATTTTTTATGCATTAGTATGAAACCATCGTCGCTATAAAGGCCTAAATCATTTATATTGATTATTTTACTTAATAAATCTAAAATATATAGTCCAACAAATTCTCAAATTTCTGCTCCATCATAACTGCCCATTGTTACGTCAAAGCAGTCATGTATGTTTTTCTTTTTCCAAGTTTCCTTATTAAGATAAAGTAAGGTTTTTCTACAATGTTTTATTATGCGGATTGTTTCTTCAGGAATAACTGTGTGGCTTTTTGCAAATTCAATTGTTTTATCTAAAATATCTGCAATTATTGAGGGGTAAAAATCATTAATGTCAAATTGAATAAATGTACAGTCATTTTTATTTTCGATTATGGAGAACCAATTTATAACATCAGTGGTATTTTTCCACTGTTGCAAATTTAATTTCTTTCTAAGAATATTATTAATTTTGTCTTACATGTCCAATCTCACTTTTTGAGGGATTATTAACTTTGCTTACATGTCCAATCTCACTTTTTGAGGGAACCAAAAACCTACAAGAAAGTTTGTTTTGAAAATTTGGTTTATGGTCTTTTAGTGTTACAAAGGCTTGGGCAGGAGCAGTTGATTCGATTCTGTTATCAAGGAAAATGTTTTTAGCAATACTTTTCGCTTCTAAATTAATTGCATTTTCCATATTTTTAGGGGCTTTCTCATAGGAACTAGTAATATTGTTGCGTAAGATTTTTTTATAGTTTTCTGTTGTAAGTTGGTAAATGTTATTTGTTTTATCAGCAAAAACCAAAATATTAGGGTTTGATTTAATTTTTTTAACATCTAACTTTAATTCTGTTTGAAATTTATTTTTTATACGGCGAAATTTTATTGTTTTAATAAAGTGATTTAGGTCATTTTCAAAATTTTCCAAATCAGGTATAAAAGGTGGGGTATTTTTTGTTTTAAATCCATAATTATCATTATCTTGGTTATTATTAAATACATCATCTGGGTTTGTTTTTGGTTTTAAGAAAAAATGGGTTTTCTAATGAACTCTTTTAATAAAATTTTAAAGAATTTATTTTATAATAGTGTCAGCATATTCCACAAATGTGTGAAAATTTACAGTATTTACATATTTTTTACAGTATTTATATATATATATATATATATATATATATATATATATATATATATATATATATATATATATATATATATATATATATATATATATATATATATATATATATATATATATATATATATATATATATATATATAGGCTTGGTCAGGAAAGCGTGTGATTTCATGTTATAATATGACTACACAAATACTATTTGATTTTACTTAACTTTACCACAACTGTTAATATGTTTTGAAAATTTGTATTTGTTTTAAAAATGTATTAAAAAAATTATCTTAATTTAACTATAAAGAAACTTAAAAAAAAACTTATCATTTAAAAAAGCAAATAAATCTTCGTAAAAAAATTAGCAAAAAACAAAATAAAAATAACTTATCTAAAACTAAAATAGCAAAAATAAAATGAAAACTTAACTAAAATAAATAATGAACGATATAACGATAACGATAATATCATCTAAATTATGTTTGGAATACATTTTGAATCATTTATCTTTACAAATATTTTTTAATATAATATCATTCAAAACCCTCTTAAATAAAGTAATAACTTACAACTGACAATTGTTTAATAAATGTGCACATTTAAAAGTTTAAAAAAACATTCTTTACAATTCTTTGCACAAAGTAAAAATAATTAAATCGTTTATTTAAAAAATAGAAATAATTTTTTTTTAATTTAAAAACATATATAATAAAAAATAAATACTTATATAAATATAAAGAAATATATATTATTCAATAATGTTTTTATATAAAACCATTAGCAGTGATTTTTTACTTTATTTAAATGCAATTCAATAATATAAAATCTTAAGTAAAGATCAAAGTTATTTAATTTAAACGACTTTCAAAAAAGTTTGTTATTTTTTTTTTTCCCAGCAAAAACTTTAATGGTTCTAATATAAAGTTTATTAGAGAGAAAAATTTAATTTTTTTTAATCTTTACTTTTTTTATTGGTACTTATAAAAAAATATTATAAAACTAAATAATATAAATAAAAAATTATACAACTTCCAATGATATTTAAATTATAACCATTAGCTACTTTATTTAAAAGTGTTTTGCTAATATAAAAATGCGTAAAGAAAAACGTGTCGAAGTTATTTATTTTCAACATAATTAAAACCAATTATTTCAGCGTATTTGTTAAAAACCGTGGTTTAATCATCAAAAGAAAACAATATTTGCATGGTCATATAAAGACTTGCACGCCTTCCTGGCCAAGCCTATATATATATGTGTGTGTGTGTGTGTGTGTGTGTGTGTGTGTGTGTGTGTGTGTGTGTACGTGCGTGCATATATAAGTTAAAAAGTATATTTGTATATATTTAGCTCACCATCCAATCCAATATTATTTTGATAGTTGTGCCAAAAATTGTTGATATATCAGACAGGGTAATGAGAAGCAACCAAAAGCTCAAAAAATTCATTTTATCACTTACTGTAAATGGTTCATAACGATACTCAGCAAAAAACCGAGAAGCAGCCTATAAATAATTATTAGAAATAAGATTTATGCAATATGATGATTTTTAAAATAATTTAAAAATCACTTTTAGAAAAAAAAATTTTAATTCAAAATTTTATACCTGCCAACCTAGAAATGCCTTAGGTCAACAATACTTTGCCAACTTTGTTTTTATCATTTAGGGTGAAACCTTTATGAAAAACTGTTTTTACCAATGTGTCGACCTAAAACAGTTTAAGGTTGGCAATGACATTTTTTATATTTTGACTAATGACATTTTGTATATTTTGACTAATCAGTAATAACCGATAGGTTTTATCGTGCATCAGATAAACGTGGAGAGGTTAAGGCATTTCTAAAGCGTTTGATAAAGTTTGGCATGCTGGTCTTCTCCTTAAGCTTTCTTCTTACGGTGTATCTGGAAACATTTTTAAGATTATTGAATCCTTCCTTTCCAATCGTAGTATAAAAGTTGTCCTTGATGGACAGCACTCTTCTTATTATTCTGTAACCTTGGGGGTTCCCCAAGGTTCAATCCTTGGCCCTATACTCTTTTTAATTTACATTAACGATCTTCCAGATATTCTCACATGTAAAGTAGCATTGTTTGCTGATGATACTACTATTTATTCTTGTCACGATAAGAAGCCAACTCCCTCTGATTGTTTGAAGGGGGCATTTGAGCTTGAAAAGGATCTCACTTCTTCTGCAGCATGGGCTCACAGTGGCTGGTGAACTTTAATTCAGATAAAACTCAATTTTTTTCAGCCAATCGTTATCGCAATAATTTAGATCTTATTTATGAACGGTAATGTACTTGATGAGTCTCCTACCCTTCATCTTCTAGGATTAACTCTTACTTCTGATCTTTCTTGGAAACCTTATATCAAATCCGTTGCAAAATTAGCATCTGTTAAAGTTGCTTCTCTTTATTGAGCTTGTCACTTTCTTACTCTGGATTCTATTCAAATCCGGCCTTGTATGGAATACTGTTGCCATATCTGGGGCGGATCTTCTAATGATCCCCTTTCTCTTTTAGACAAGGTGCAAAAACGCATTGTAAACATAGTTGGACCTGCTCTTGCAGCCAACCTTCAACCTCTGTCACATCGTTGTAATGTTGCTTCTCTTTCTCTTTTCTACAAATACTATAATGGGCACTGGTCTAAAGAGCTAGCGTCTCTTGTGCCATCTACTAAAATTCATTCTCGTGTTACTCGTCATTCAATTAAGTCTCATCCTTTTTCTGTTACTGTTCATAAGTGCTCCAAAAACTCTTATTTGTCTAGTTTTTTTCCTCGAACATCAGTTCTTTGGAATTTACTTCCTTCATCTTGCTTTCCTGATTCATATAATTTGCAATCTTTTAAGTTGTCTGTCAATCGTTATCTTGCTCTACAATCATCATCTTTTCTCTTCCAGTAACTTTCAACACTAATTAGTGGTTGCTTGCAGCCTTGTTGGAAGCAAAGATATTAAATAAAAAAAAAAATGAACTTGTTTCTTGGTACAGTAGCCTTGTTCATCAAGGTTCATGTTTTGTAGTTATAGAGTTGAGAGAGGGTTGTAACCACAAATAAGGTAGCCTCCTCGACTGTAGTAGCCTTCATAGACTTGGGAAGGTGAATTAACATTGAAAAGAAAAAAAAAAGAAAAAAATAGTGTAAGGTCTGTAGATTTCTAGAAAGTTGGTATGAGTGTGTCTGATTTGTTTAAGGCTTAAAAGATATTGAAAGATTTTGATGCTGATTTTATATTGTTGTGCACTTTTGTGACTTGTTCATCTTAATCAAGATTTTCACTGAGCATGATATTTGTTGCTGTTGACCATTTCAAGCTCAGTATTGAGTAAAAGAAAAGGTATAGCTTGAATTTTGTAGCACCTGAGATTAATCCTAATAACTTAACAATACAAGCTCTTAAGTTTTATTCAATTGACCACAGATTGTAGTGCAACATAATCTACAAAGGATTAAGGTTGGCAGAAACTTTATTGTAGATTATATATGTCAGGACTTCGTTAGCATATTTTTGGAAAATGGTTTCAAGTGGGAGAATAATGGGACAATAATTAATAATAACTAGGAAAATATTTTATACTATTTTTTTAAATATATATTTAAAAACCTTTTTATAATATGTAAACTATTATAAATTATAAGTATATTAATAACATAAGTTATTATGTTACTTAATAATTTATTAAATATAGTAACAAATTACTTAAAATGATTGTTTAAAATAAACCTATTTTATTTAAATTATGAAAGAATATTATAGGCAATTTCATTTATATAAATATGTATTTTTTTTAATGATGAATTTGTTTAAATGATTAAAATAATTTTTCTATAATTAATTTTATTAACACTTTTAATAGCAAAAAACGTTAGCATGAAAACAAATGTAACATAACATAACTCAAATTTAATGGTGTAATAAAAAGTATTAGTTAAAACAAAAAAAAGAAAAGTTACAATAAAAGAGTTATGAATATTGAACTCAGAACCTTTATGCTACTTTTTTTTTTTCATAACTGGTGGAATGGATCCAGAATGTACAAATTACAAACACCTGAATAGTCAGCAGAAAGGTACAACAAAGTTTTAACTTATATTAGAGTAAAGCTTTCATTTATAATAATAAAACCAGCTCATCTTTTTCTGCATGGATCGAGGTCTTTACCCATGAAAAATCTCTTCAGCGCTACAAACAATTTCAAACTGGTATGCGACAATCTACAAATTACATAACGTTGTTTACTTAATAAATAATATTAAATTTTTTTTCTAACAAACATGTAAACTTTAAATTCTTCTTTCAGAGAATGTATATGATTAAATAAACTATTGTGTTAAAGTTTTTATAAATTAAAATTTAAAAGGTAAAATAATTGTTTAAAAGTTAAATACTAATATATAAATAAATTAAAATTAATTAATTGTATTGTTTTAATATAGATGATAAAAAATGGACTGCTTGAGCCAAAAAAAATTTTAATCTTTAGTGTTTTTTAAAAAATGAACAAAAACTTTTTATTTACGTAACTGTGTGTTTGACTCCATTTTCTGTTAGTTATAAATAATAAAAAGTTTAAAAAATGAAGTTTTTATTCTTTATATATTACGCTGAGTATACTATTAATTTTGAAACAACTGAAATGATTATAAAATAAATGCATGCAACATATGGATCAGACATGAAATGACTGGTAGATGTTGATTTTTTAACAAAATAGTGCTAGACAATGTTCAATGTCCAGCAGCTATTTTGAACCCTGTTTATATATATTTAAATAATATATAAGTTTAAATAACATAAAATCACGCCCTACATCATGAGACAAACATATCACAGCCTACATGATGAGAAACATTGAAATCATCTTACACCATATTCAAAAACAAATTGATGATGTAAAATTCAGTTTAACAACTGAATTTTACATCATATCATTTTTAACTTATAAAAATGTTATGATGTAAAATTCTATATAATATATAGAATTTTACATTATAACATTTTTATAAAAGATTTCTTTTGCAATAATTTTTATGTTTTAACTTAAACCAAAGCAATTTTCTTCTAATCCTTGTGTCTTTTTGAATTGTCTCCCTGTGCAAACCACAATTTTTATCAAGTATTATTATATGTTTAACACTTTAACTATTAATTTTTATTGTTACTTGATTTTCATTGTTAAAGTAAAAAACATTTTGGTTTGATTATATTGGCAAAAATTTTAATCACATATTCAAAATTTTATTATAATTTAACATTGTCACATATACCTGTATATAAATACAACAATATTTTGCATAAATGATATACAAAAAAAATTCAATGTTCAATTTTTATGCTGTAAAAAGTCATTATCATATTTATAATATAGTTATTTGAAATTATCACCTTGCACAACTTCCAATGGCGGTTAAATGAGCGAAGGCATAAAGATAAGGACACAGTACACAAAATAACTATAACTGAGTCATAAACTGTCATTAAACGCTTTTTTGTCTGATGTTCTGAAAAAAATAAATGAATAAAAAAGCAGATAAAAATTTTAAATTCTTAAAAACAAATGATTATCACTAAATTATTAATATTTATTCATATTTTAAATAAAAAAAACACACAAGAACCTTGAATATGTAGTCCCTTGTCACTTGATCTGCAATGATGAAAATCTATATCCGAATCTAGCCTTACTTCCATGATTCCATCAAGATCACCATTTTCAAATAAAATCTAAAATAACACCAATATTTAAACTAAAAAAACGAAAGATAAAAATAAAACTAATAACAAAGATATGATAGCACATTCAGTGGTGAAATCTCTGGTCATTTCCTGTTCATCTTGCAGGCAAATAAAATATTATATGCAGGCATCAAGTCGCAGGCCTCAGCAGGAGTAAACGAGTGCAAGAGCGAGGAAAAGCTTTCCTAAAACAAACATGGCAAGCCATGTGAGCTGCTCCTCTAAACAGCATCTTACGCAAGTATTTGGTTTTAGCACAAGCTATTTGTTTAGTCATTAAAAAATTACTTATTAATTAAATAAAATAGGTTTTAAATATGTTACAAGCATATGTTTGTAACATTAATGCTACAAGAATATTTACATAACAAGCGCCATTTTAAAAAATTCTTTAGACAAGATTTTTCTTAGGGTTTTCACAATAGCCATCCATTTCTTTATTAACATTACTTATTTGATAAAAAATTTGACAAAGAACTATAAAAGTTTTAATGCTTGTAAAAAATGTTTTATATTTTTTTATTGTAATAGAATGCAGGCATTTTAAGAATTATTACAACAATTAAAAATTCTACAATCGGGTGGACACGGAAAAATCTGGTCAACTTTAAATTGAGATTTCTCCGAAACCACAAATGCTTTTTATTTTTTTTTTTTTTAATTAAACCTTACTTCCTTTTCTTAAATGGTGTTGATAAATTTTTGTTTACAAATTAATGATTTGCAAAATGTTTTGGAAACAAATTGAGGTGCGTAAAAAAGTTGTGAATTTTTTTTGCAAAAATCCATCGACTTCCTATTGCTTGATTGCTAAACACATAAATGTCCCAAAATCTACAGTCATAGATATTATAAATAAGTTTAAGACTACTCAAAGCTTCGAAAGAAAACTTGGAAGTGGAAAAAAAAAAACTTTCCATAAATCCAAAAAGATAAAATTAATTTTACGTTCAATAGCAAGTAATCCAAACCAGTCACAGCAAGATCTAGCAAGAAAATTCAAGACTTCTCGCTCTTATATTGAAAAAGTACTTAATAATGCTGGAATTAAAGCATTTCATAAGAAAAATACACCTTAGAGAAGCTTAAATTATGAAATTAAAGGAATTCGACGCGCAAAGAAGTTGGTTAAAATAATGGCGGATAAAATATGTGCATAATTGAAGACAACGAAACATATTGCAAGACGGATTTTTCACAACTTCCTGGTCAACAGTTTTACTATGAAAACAAAGATAAACCTGTCGATAATCAATTTAAAAATATTCAACAAGAAAAATTTGCATCCAAGTTCCTTGTGTGGCAAGCAATTTGTAGCTGTGGTATGCAGTCCTCTTGTTATGTCACTAAGAAGACCTTGACTGCCAATCTCTACATCAAAGAATGCCTCCAAAAAAGACTTTTGCCTTTAATAAAAAAACACAAATACCGATGTCTCTTTTGGCTCAATCTTGCTGCCTCTCACTATTCTAAAAAAATTATACAGTGGTGCAAAGATAATAATGTGAAAATTGTTCCTAAAGATGCGAATCCTCCAAATCGTTCTGAAAAGCGCAAGAATTAAGATTTTTGGGCAATAGTTAAAGGAGTTCTTCATAAGACAGGTGGAGTAACAAATAATAAAAAGGACTTCCAAAAAAAGTGAATTAATGCCACTAATATGGTGAAAAAAGAAAAAATCTGTAAAATGATGGCATCAACCCGCTATAAAGTTTGATTTCTTGCCAAACAACCCATCAAGCACCTTAAAATTAAGTTGAAAATCTAATTTATGCAAACACATTTAATAATAAAAAAATTGAAATAAAAAGCATATATGGTTTTAGAGAAATCTCAATTTAAAGTCGACCGGATTTTTCTGTGTCCACCCGAAATTAAAGTAAATGATATATTAAAGTAATTATTGCATAAAATATATAATCCATAACATAAAATAAAAATAATTTTATCAGTTAAATAATTTTATATTTTAAGAATATAATTTAAAGTGTAATAATTTTATATTTATTAAATAGTCTAATCTAATAAAAAACATTTGCATTTAAATTGTCACTCTTTTTAAATTTTTTTTTTTAATGCAACAACCGTGTCTTTTAAAAAGCATTTCAGTCTATTATGCAATTAATTTTTTTTGTATATATATGTGTATATAAATGACTTTGTGTCTTTCATTTTATTTACAAGGATAATTATACTTTTGAAAGAAAAAATTATAGTTTTGCGAGAGCCGCAATATTATATATTAATGTGTGGGCAAGAGCAAAAGCTATAGCTCTAGCTTTCTGCAGAGGCCTGATATGTTTTCAGGGTGTTAGCCAGGAAAAAATGTTTTACAGCATTTCACAATATTAGGAATTTAGGTGTTTTTAGTTCGCAAATAAATAAAAAAAAAAGGTCATTGCATTCTGTTATTTAAAAAAAAGTTTTAGGTAAATCATAGCTTGTGCCTACAGTTCCCTAACTCAATTTATACGAGCAAAATAAGATTCCATGTAAGTACAAAAATTTGACATTTTTTAGATACATAAACATTTTTGAAATGATTTTTTTTTTGGTGGGTGTATTAACATATTTTTAGCAGGAATAAAAAATAATTATATATTTTTTAAATGTTAAATTAATTAATACAACTTGTTTCATTCTGAGCAATTTTCTTAAACCTTTTTATATTTATTTATTTAAGAAGTAGAGTGAGATTCGTTCACTGCATGAGAGCAGCAAATAAATTTAAGAGGCGAATTTAAATATCTAGCAAATATTTTATTTGTACATTAAAAAAATAACTAATTTTTGTATTTAAAAATTTTATTTTTGAAATTAAACTCTTGTATTTGTAAATAAAATATAAATATTTTAGAAATTTATGTAAATTTAATTATCCTCTTTCATGTTTTATGCAAATATAACATGATACATTTCGTTTTTGATTTTTTGTTGTTGATAAATAACTTTAAAAACTTAATTTTACGTTAATAACTTATTTTAATGTATATTATTTGTTATATGCAAAGATTTTTGTAACTTTCCTAACTTGAGATAAACAGTAAAAATGTAAATAAAAAGTTTTTGAATAATAAGAATAAATAAAAGAACAACTATGTATTAAACTTATTGAAAAATCGAAACTAGAAAATAACTGTCATTAACTAAAAAATAATTTTTTGTTTAACATTCAAATGAATGACCTTGCTCATTAATGACAACGCTTTTTTTTAAATTAAAAAAAAAAAAACAATTTTTCTTGATCAACTTAATTCATTTCTTAGGGTTTTCTACCCATCTAACATAACATTTAAAAACTGAACCCAATACAGTTTTTTTTTTTTAACTACCTTTTGAATCTTTGGGAATTTAAAGCAATTAGGAATTCCATGTTATACCTAAATTCAATTTACATGTTATATGTTGATTTTTGGTTCTCAGGCGAAAAAATTTTCTCGAGCAAAAAAACTAAAGGAAAAAACTTGTATTGACTGACAACTAGACAAACAAAAAATGCTTAATTAAAAATAAACTATTATTAAAAAAAAAAGTGAAAGGAAACAGTATAGAGAAAAAAAGTTAAAAAATATAATCGAAAAAATATTTACATTATGCATTTTGAATTGAAAATGAAACAAAATGTAATTTTGAAACTTATTAAGTGATGCAAAATGCGATTGTAACTTTAAAATTTTTTTTGATATATTTGTATTTTGAATTGAAAAGAAAATGTGCTTCATGCATGAAAATGCAACAACAAAATTCTAAAAAACAGTTTAGTCACACTTTGAAACATTTAAAATTGTGCATGTCTAATTTAATTAAGTCAGCTTTTTTGTATTACGTTTAATGAAATTATATAATGCACAGTAGTTGTATTTATTTTTAAATGTAGCGTATAATTTATGTACATTTTTAAACGTAGTGTACTTTAAAATAATCAGGCAAAAAATATATTTTGCAGTCTTCTCTGTTTGACAAGTGCTTTTGCACTCTTGCAGTTTTGCGTTCGCCCAGACGCCTACCAATACTCTGGCTGGCACTTTTTTAAGCAATCACCAAAAAATTTCAAGCACGTTTTTGAATTGCAACAAATCTTTTTTCTTAAACAAATTTTAATTAGATTGGTACAAAAGAAAATATTTTTTTAAAAAAGGGCACACCAGACAAATAATTACAGTCTGGCCAGCGCTTTTTTGTGCGCTGGCGGTTAATTTCAAACGGAGAAGACTGATTTTATGTACTCAAAATATAATTTATTTTACATGAAATTCTTTAACTACTAATTAAATATTTATCCAAGTATATAAATATTCTTAACATACCAGTTGATTATAAGTCAGAAATAATAGTTAAAAAAAAGCAAAAATCTAATGAATAGAATAATTACCACAATATTAAACATGTAACAGTCTGGTGAATTCCTTGCATGAAGCATTGTATAATTGACTTGAAAAGTAAACTGAAGCTTCATTTCAACTATCCTGAAAAAATAAAATTATCAGAGACTAATAAAACATGCTTTTAATAAAACATTCTTTTACTCACACAAAATAATTTTATTGCAATCATTTGGCTGGTTAATATTATTATTATTAATTATTGGCTGTTTAATGTTAATAATAATTATTAGGCTGTTTAATGTAATAAATTTAGGTGAAAAAGAATTTGGATGAGCATTAAAAAATAAAGCAGACAAGATTAAATTCAGAACATCAAAACAAAATCTGGATCAAAAAATATCAAGTAACAAATAAAAATAAATTCAAAAAAAAAAAAATTGAATTTATTTTTAACTTTTATGCTACTCTGTAGATTCAGAAAACCAAAAAAAAAATTTACAATTAAAAAAAAAAAATTAAAAAATTACCACTCAAAGTCTTTTGGAAGTTGATTTACATTTATGAACTCGTCAAGAGATATTTTATGGTTCTTTAGCTTCGGTTGAAGATCATAACAAGTATCTAAAAAAACATTAAAATGCATACATTATCATAATCTACTCAAACAATTTTATGTTAAGAAAAAAATTGACAAACCATGAACAAATATTTGTTAAAAAAAGACAACGTAAGCAACATTTTTTTTTCTTAAAGTAGAATGGTATTGAAAGTTCTAATATTTTATAAATACTTATAAAGTTAACAACAAAGCTTAAATATTTTATAGGGTAAGTGAGAGCGTTTTCAATCACTATTAAAAATTGACCACTTTTACTTGAACTTTCACTTCAATTAAACAAAAAAGTATTAAGAATATCATAATATAAAAAATATTTATAATCTATCTAGATATATAATCTATCTAGGAAAGAATCTTATATGAGAACACAGAACAACATTTTTAACATCTTTAAAGTTCTATAAACTACTGTAAGTTTTTTTTGCTTAAAAAGAAAGTTTTCTAATAAAAAAATCAAAAAAGTTAGTATTCAACTAACATCAATTTATTTCTTGTATGACAAACAATCTTTTATTATTTTTCTCACTGATTCTAATTACGTTACATATCTAAAACTTTCTTTTCGAACTTTGAAAGCTTTTTTATAACTATCAAATCTTTATAACTTTTCATTAATTCATGAATAAAAAACATAATGAATCAAAATCCAAATTTAACACAACAACTATGGAGAATATGAAAACTTTTCTGTGGAGAATCTTTCAAAGAACCACTACAAATGATAGAAAAAAAACCTTTAAGTTAAAACGTTGCAAATCTTATATTTTATACACAAGGTCTCAAGATAATGAAAATAAGTAACTTTACAAAAAGATTTCCAAAAGATAAGCTGATGTTAATCAAATTTTTACTCACCAAAGCTGATGTTAACCAAATTTTTACTCACCAAAGCTGATGTTAATCAAATTTTTACTCACCAAAGCTGATGTTAATCAAATTTTACTCACTAAACCTTGATCTGCTGATCAAGTTTGAAATCTATTTTTCAGTTTTATTTTTCAAATCTCTTCCTAATCCTAATATAACCTAATTTCCATCATTTAAAAGTGTATGATATGATGTTTAATGTTTTTTTAAAAAATGATATTAAATATAACATAAAATATAATAAGCAAATAATAAGGCAAATAATAAGGCAAAAATACATTATTAATAATAAGGTAAAAAAAAACCTATAACTAAATATTATACTAATTAAGAATTTCAATATTTTATAAAGTTGATACCATAAAAAATACTTTATAAAGTTGATACCATAAAAATACAAAAATACCCAGATTTTCTTTTGAAATGTTTCTTGCTTGACTATCTTTATGTAAAGTTTTACAAAATTTAATCCTTGTATCATTTGAATCAGTTTTGATCTCATATGTTCCAACCATTATTTTCTCGTAATCATAAATCTAAAATCCCAATAATTTTCTCGTAATTATATATTTATTAAAATTTCATAATGACAATATAACTTCTAAATTTAAACTTTTTATTAAATTATTAAATTCATAAGAAATTTAAATATATTGATTTATGAAACAAGCTTAAAACATTAAATTGTTATAATCTTAAATTCATAGACTTAAGAAATCTGATTCAGCAAAATCAATAATATCTCAAATTCATAAACTTAAAAAATCTGATTCATTATCTTAAAAAATCTAATTCAATATGATTTTTGAATCATAAATCTTGATTTATGATTCAAAAATCATTAGTCAATATATTTAAATTTCTTATGAATTTAATAATTTAATAAAAAGTTTAAATTTAATTTTAAAAAAATTTGAGTTTTTTCACTTACTCGTATTAAAAACTTTTTTCACACGAATCATAATTTTGATATAAAAACACTTTTTTTACACAAATGTTGGAAGAAGATTTTGGATGTTCGAAGCATTTTATATTATTTGTATGTTAGTTGTATACTTCATGAATTTTAACAAAGTTTAACAAAGTAATTTTTTTTCCAAAAATATATTATGATCTTACATTTTAAATGTAACTTTTATCTCTCAGAAAATATTTAAGACAATCATATTTACCCTTATCATATTGTTGTTAGAAACATCTTTTACACAGCTTGTCTACATCATTGTGTACAAAGACTTATATTTATTCATCTTTTCATTCATTTGCATCTAGCTTCTTTTTTTTTTGAAATTATTTTTATTTATCTAACATATGAGCTTATACACTATAACTGTCATTTCCTATCAACCTAACTGTTATCTCTTCTCAAATCTCACCTTGATATGTATTATATAGAAAAACTATAATGGGAATTTCACTTAGCAACCACCTCTAGGTAACTAGCTCTAGGTTGAATTGTAACAATTCGAGGCAGTATTAGAACTAGACAACAATTGCTAATGGGTATTAATTTTACCAAAGTTTTGTTAAAAGTTTACCTTCATATAATTTTTTTGTGAAAAAAAAAATTAAAAATATTGTCGAATGTAAATAAAAACTTTTAAAAATAAAATTGAAAGTATTTAAAACAACAATTAAATAATAATAATTTAACATTATTATTATCAACAGATCCTTCTTCTAAAGGTATATAAGAATTTTTATAAGAAAAACTATTTTAAAAATTTAAAAATGAAAAAAAAAAAATGAAAAAATAAGAAAATAAACTTTAAATAATATTATGTATTTATATATAATAACTTGTCAAATAACATAATTTTAAAATTGATCTGATCACATATAGTATAGAAATTAGATAAACAAACTTTGATTAACTGACTTGATTCCATGAATGAAAAATCTGTTGATATACACTGCTTTTTTGATATAGTAATTTTCCATTTGGGTAGTTGAATATAAAGACCTGGCGAAATGTTTCAATGTTATCTTTATTGAAGGTGACTACAGAAAATTCATTGGTTGCAAACAGTGTTGCCTATTTATAAATGTAAAACAACTATAAATATCTCTAACAAATTAAAAGAAAACAAAACAAGTTTATAGCAAAATTTCATACATTGACAAAAAATATATATATATATATATTTAATGTTGTGCAGGTTGTGCAGGAACTAATAACATTCAATGAACAAAACAAAAATTTAATTTATAAAACAACTTATACAGTTCACCAAAAATGTTTTACTAATTGTAGCAAAATAGACAAAAAATAAGAAATATACATTTTAATTAGCAACATACAAAAAGATATACATATAAAAAAAAACATATCAACTAAAAATTAAAATCTGTTCAAAAATACAAAAATACAAAAGACGGAACTTGACCCCAGCAGAGAAAAAAAACTATTATGTAGTATATAAAACAAACTAGATGTACTACCTTATGCAAAACTATTATGCAAATATAAAACAAACTAGACGTACTACCTTGTGGTAGCCTGTGAGGTGCATAATGATCAAAAAATAATTATTCTAAAATTTTAGGACAAACACTATTTAGGGGTAGCGCAGTTACCTAATCTGAGTAAATTGTAGTTTCCGTGCCTATTTTTCAACACTTTTCAAGATTTCACTGTCAGTTTTTAAAAATTCATCGAAAAACTTTTGGTATGTTATTTTTCATTAAGTAAAGTATTACAGGTAACTGTGTTGAAAGAAAAATATTTAGGGGTTGCACAGGGCAGAAATAATATGTTACTAATATACAAAATTGCCTACTTAACAACATGAAGTATGTATTGTAACTTTGGATCTTTGACTTGTTTTTTAAAGTCTTGGATCAGCTTGACTCCCCATTTAGCGCAGTCATTAACCACTTCTAAAAACTCAACTACTTTTTTAACATAGTTATAGTCCTTTTCTCATTTACATAAACGACCTTTATGAAGCATCCAATTTGATGACAGTTATGTTTGCTGACGATACAAATTTTTTTTTATCTCATAGCAACATAATGACACTATTTTCTTGTATGAACATTGAACTAAATAAAGTTTCCCAATGGTTTAAATCAAACAAACTTTCTCTGAATATTGAAAAAATAAAATGGTCTCTTTTCCATTCTAATTCTAAAAAATGCCTAATTATAGAACTTCCCAGGCTTTTTATTGATGGCGTTTTAATTAAGAGAGCAACATGTACAAACTTTTAAGGGGTATCAATCAATGAAAATCTCACATGAAAAAACCATATCGAAAACATATCCTGCAAAATTTCGAAAAGTATAGGTATATTGTATAAAGCAAGAAGCATGCTAAATAAACATATTATAATTCAACTATACGACTCATTCATTCATTGCCACGTAAACTATGCGAATGCAGCTTGGGGTAGTGTTAATAAAAGTAAATTAGAAACTCTTCATCGCCAACAGAAACATATTGCACGTCTTATTAATTTTAAAGACCGTTTTGCACATACTAAGCCTTTCTTTATTGAAATGAATATTTTAAATATATTTCAACTAAATGTATTTAATGTACTGTGTTTTATGTTTAAATGTAAAAATTGTACAGCTCCGGTTTCTTTTCACAATTTATATTCCTCAAAAGAAGAAAATAAGTATAATTTACGAAATGATAAATTCATTTTACAACCTGTTTTTAAAATAAACTTAGGCAAGTTTTGTATTTCTTTTCGAGGGGCATTTCTGTGGAACAATATAGTTTTAAAACATTTTGATTTTTCTCAAGACTGGAATTTAAAAGAAAACTAAAAAATATTTTTCTCTCTACCGAAAACATACTTGTATATTTTTAATTTTAATTACTTTGATTTATTTATAATGTTTATACGAATTCTTATAACTAAAATATTTGTTTGATTACATACTTGTATATTTAAATTTAGTTTTGTTAACTTTGTTTTGACTGGCTTGTGTAAAATGTTGATTTATACATTTTATATTATTCATTTTGCATTTTATATATTCATGCAAAACGTTAATTTTTATTTCTAACTTTTATTTAAAAAATTTTATTAGACTTCGTTTATTTATTTTATATAAATTACGAAATTGTTTTTAAATACGAAATGATTGTTAGTTGTAAGCAGTTCTTGATGACAAGATAATAAGATCTTCTGCAAGTCTCTGCATTCTTTTTTTATATTTAACAAAAGTTGTAATTTTTATTTGTATGCATTTCTTATTTCTTTTATTTGATTGTAACAGTTATTTTGCATAAATAAAAGGAACATAAAAAAAAAATAAAAAAAAGTTTTTCATCTTTGTCCAATGTTCAACAGGTAGTTGCAATCCACTTGATTAGGTTTTGAGTAAATCAAACAGTAGTAGTAAGTAGTAGTTGTAAAATTTAAAACTGAAATAATACAGTACTACTGTTAGCCATTTAAAATTGCAACTCTAAAAAATTAGCAGTTAAAATTAGCCCAGGGAAATTCTATGGGAAATTTAAAAGCAATTAAAATATAATTTTAATTGCTTTTAAATAAATTTTAATGAAAATGTTGATTTTTAAAAGTTGGCAAAATGACCTGTGCCACCCCTAAATATTTTTCTTTTAGTTTTTTTATCTGTAATTACTTAATGAAAAATAACATACTAAAAGTTCTTGAATAAATTTTGAAAAACTGACAGTGAAATCTTAAAAATGATAAAAAATAGACACAAAAACTACAATTTACTCAGATTAGGTAACTGTGCTACCCCTAAATAATGTTTGATTCTCCTAAAATTTTGAAAAAATTTTTTAATCATTATGCATCTCACATAAAAAGTTTAACTCAAAATTAAAAAAAAAGGCGGAAATAGGACACCCTAGTGTCCCATTTTCGCCTACATGCCTATATGTACTATATCTTTACTCAGCAAAATTTTCATAGTTCTACCTACAATTTGTAAATATAAATTAGTTTTCAATGTATTTACATTTTTTTTGTTTATTACAGAAATTATTAGAAATAAATAAGCAAATAATATTTTAATAGAAATTAATAATTTATTTCAAAAACTTAAAAGTCAGAAACATTTCAAAAAAACATGCCAAATTTATATAGTTTCATCAAAAATTTATAATTTTTGTTTTAAATAATAATTTGAAGATTACTTTTTTTTTAATAATGTATACTACCATTTTATACTCACTAATTTGAAGATTTTTTTTTACTTTTCATAAGAGTTACATGCTTTTTGAAATAAGTTTTAAGTTCTTGTATCATGCTATACTGTTAAGAATTTCTATATGTAGTTCATGCCAAAATTCAACATAAATTTTCAATAGGGTTTAAGTCAGGTGAATGTGATGGCCGATCCAAAAGATGTATGTTTTTTTCCTGGAACCACCATTTTACATTTCGTGCTGTGCGGAATGCCACATTGTCTTGTTGGAAAATCCAGTTCTCAGTATGTAAACCTTTACTAAACTCGATTAAAACCTCCTCTAAAAGATTTAAAAATTCTTGGATTCATTTTTGTTGTAATAAAACATATTGGAAGTAAAAACAAAATACTATACCATAACTACCCCTCGTTCAAATTTACGACTCATAGCAACACTATGTTTTTTTTCAAATCATTGTTATTTTTTTTTTCAAATAAGTTTAACTAATATATTTAATAATAATACTTAAAATCATCAAGCCCATCTAAGTTAAACTTTTTTGATTGGAAAAAAAAACATTTTTCCATTCTACGTCCCACGTCATGTGGTCATTGGCAATTTTAAATCTCTTTTATGTTTTTTGTCAATGGTTTTTGTGATCATTTTTTTCCACTAGAATTGTTCTGATTTTGACAAAATTTGTTGGACACATCATGTGGTTTCCAGTTCAGTTTCTCAGCTTTCCGTGTAATTCCTGGTAATTTGAATGCGATAGTGGTGTAGTAGTAGTAGAGGACTCGCTTCATAAGCAAGAGATTCCAAGTTTGATCCCAACCACATTCCTGGTAGTACTGTGCTCAACTGGTTTCTCCGCGCAGCAGCCTTGTTTGTCAAGGTTTGTGTATAGAGTTGAGAGAGGGTTATAATCACAATTAAGTAGCCTCCTTGTCTGTAGTTTTCCTCCTTTTAACATAAAAACATTAATATAAAAAATAAAAAATAAAAAAATTCCAGTTCAGTTCTTATTTGTCTTAGTGTTCATACTCCAGATCGAACACCAAACGCAAAATGGAAGAATGTTGCCTTCTGGTTATTTCTTAATATCTACCCTCAAGGTAATTTTTTTGTAATTTTCACCTAAGGTTAATTATTAATTGCATGATGAGACCTTTTAATTTTCTTTTCAAATTGTCAATTGAACAAACACATATCTTTATAAGCAACAGTTTTTGTTTTTTCTTCCTTATATAACATAATTCTGATTTTACGATTGTTTAAAAAGGAAACAAATGTTCTTTATTTAACAAAGAGTGTCTAACAAGAAAAGTCTAACAAGATTCTAATAAACCTAACACAAGTTTTATTTTTATCTAAGCTAAATTATTTTATAAATAAAAAAGTTAATTTTTTTAAATAACTATTTTATGCTTCCCTTAGTTTAAAAAGTTCAACATATATGAAGCAATTCTTCTTAGAAAGACGAACAAATGAAATAATTAAATCATTGAATTACTATAGAAATTAAATTAAATAGATAGAAATCAACTAAAAAGTTTAAAAATACTTTATAACGAGGAAACGAAACTGCTTCACAATATTGCTGTCAATGTTTAGTGAGTGGGCTTTTTAATTTTAATTAGTATTTAAAGCAGAAAAAAGTATAACGAATTTTTAAGAATGACAACTGAAGCAAAAATAATTAGAGTTAGTAAACCAATATCTAAAAACTTTTCTTTATATCTAATAACTTGCTATATATATTTGTGTTCTGTCATGACCTCACGCGCGATGCTTTTCATCCGCGAGTTACTTTGAATGCATGTTTGTGTTTAGTAACCAGAAACTTCTTATATGTTTATTACATAGTTAGTTTTATTAACTTTGATGATTATTAATAACTTCATTAAAAATGCAATCATTTTTGTAAGTTTTTGTTTACAAAGTAAATCATAAAAATTGCTTTAAAAGATTACATTACAATAAAAAACAGATACACAAAATTACATTTACATAGTAAATACATACTTTTTAAATAAAAAAAAAGAATATACTAATAAAATCTATATTTTAAATAAACTTTCAAAATTTTGACAATTTAAAAAATACATATTATAAAACATTTATTTTTGTAAACAAATAATAATAGTTTGAAAGATTTACAACTTTGGAGTTTGATAATATTTAAAAAAAAAAATTATTTTTAATATATTATAACAATTTATGAAATCTCAAAACGTAACAAATCGTGAATAATACAATTTCTTAAACATTTCAACAGAATACTCTAGAATTTTATTTCGCTTAGTCAGCGTATTTTTTGAACCAGTAGAATTTGTTTGTACATTTGGCAGGTTTTTAGTGTTTGCAAATATTCTTTTTATTCTTCCGCGCCAAGATGTTTTGAGAACATTCAAGTTTATTATTATTTTATTTATTAGTTTATTATATGTTTCCATGTATTTCCGAAAACAAAAATTTTTTGTTACATACATAAACTAAAATGTTCTCAAAAGGATTAAAAAACCTGGCCAGTTTTTCACAACTAAATATTATTTCCATGGTCAGTATTCAAGAGCAATCGCTCCCGCTTCCCAACCAAGCCTGCATTCTGTGTTAAGTCAGCAATAACTACATAGAACTATGGAAACCTTGATAAGTGTATATGTACTCATTTATACTATAATTTATGTTTAATAAATTATAGTATAAATGAGTAATAATATATTAAACTATAATTGTATGTTTATATCTTATTGAACTGCTAAAATATGCGTATGACTCAAAGTCAGATGTCATACGCATATTTTAGCAGTTCAATAAGATATAAACATACAATTATAGTTTTATGAAAAATAAAATTATTAAATATACCTGAATAGTAACAAGTATAATCTTTCCAATTTGCAGCAAAAATTTCCAGGGCTTGCGCCCTCTATCTTTATACTTTTCATATGGGTTTTTAAAAAACCATTGAAGCTTGCTTCTTATCTGTTCTTCATTGTCAGTTTCATGAATTTCTTCATGAGAATCAGTAACCATATAATAGCTTTTTGATTTTTCCTTAGGCAATAATGAGTCACCTTCTGAAAATGATTCTGCCATTCATTTATCCCTTCATTATTATTAATTTAATGTTAACTCATTAAAAAAATTTTTATGAAAAATCTAAAATAAATTCAGTTTAAAAATTAAATTTATCATTTTAAGTATACTAATAATAAAAAAAATATTATCTATTTAAAAAAAAATTGTTTTTTAATAAACAAGTGAGCAAACAATAATAAAAAATAAAGTAAAAATAACAAACAATTAAAATATTTACACAAACTTAGGAAAGCAAATTTTCTAAAAAAATGTTTAAAAAATTTGAACAACTTGCATAATGCAAAATTTGCAAAATTATAGTTGTGTTTTATATTTGATGTTATAATTTTCTTTAAATGAGTTTATTGTTTTTATTGAACATAAGATTCTATGCTTTGATGTCCAGCTTGGTTTATTAGATTAAATCTCTGACAAAATGATCCAAATTTAAGTCCTGAAATCAAATCAAAATTTGGTAGCATTTTGTTAATCAAGTCAAAATTTGGTATTTATTTCTTACTATAGATTTTCATTGATTTTAAACTTGAAATAATTTGATTATCGATATTAGACCATATACAATTCTGTATCACATGATTTTCAATGCTATGCTTCACCTACCTTGTTTTAATTACTTACCTCCTCCTCCCATATCTATGGTGCAACAATCTTGTCTGTCATTATCAATTTAATGTAATTTTTTATATAATCATATGGTGCTCTAGCAAAGTCTGTGGAGTTTATTCATCAACATAGTTGAAAATACTAGAGTATTCCATAAGGTAATGTTGGTAGCAAATTTTAATTATCTGTAATTTCTGTCACACCTGCCTAACCTACTCCACTTCCATACATTTATGATTAATTTACAACAATTTAGAAGCAATACTTGCATATTTACATATATTCTAAGTAGATATGTAAATAGTTCTGACAAAATGACTGTAGCAGCCCGCACAGGGGTTGAAAAGAGTGTTACAACACTATTTTCAACCGCTTGAGTCTAAAAAAAACTTTGACAAACAAGGCTGGAAACAAATTGAGAATGTAATACCAGAGGTATAGTAGAGATGAACTCGGAACTTCTTATTTATCAAAAAAGTTCCCTACCACTACACCATATCTATAACCTACCACTACACCACTACTATAACCTACCACTACACCACTATTATAACCTACCACTACACCACTACTATAACCTACCACTACACCACTACTATAACCTTAGACTCTTAACCTTTGTAACTACATCCTTAGACTCTTTGTATACTTTTTGTATATTTTTATATTGTATATATCTATTATACCAGATCTAGACTCTTTTGTAAATAAATAACTAAATTATTAATTAATTTAAATTTATGGAAATTTAAAAAATATCTTCTTGCATCATTTATAAGTGCTACATTTAGTAAAATAACACTAAACTAAAGAAGTTAACCTTTAAAAAAAATTTTAAAGGGTGCCTCATGACCTTAAAAGATTCAATTGCTTATAAATTAAAAAATATATATATAAAAGTTTTTTTAAAAGTACCTCATGTTAGGTCTAAAACAAAGCAAAATTGAATAAAAATTTCAAAAATAATAATCACTTTATAAAATATTATTTTTTACAGATCTTTTAAATGTACTTTTTTAAAATAAAGTTTTATAAAATATGATTACTATTTTTGAAAATTTTATATGTCCCTTCTTTTGAGTTGACTAATTAGCAAAGTATAACCCTATATTTTTCTACTTCTAAAAAATGTTTATTTTTAAAACATGGTATGGAATTTTTTATTTATTTTCAAAGTGCAATATTTATTTGTCACTAATTTGTGGCAAATGTATAGTACTTATGCGCAAGTGCTAACCTTGTAAAGTTGCATTAATGAAATGGCGGATTGCGATGAACTAGATTAATGCGTTATCTCATCTCCTATTTCAAATAGGAAAAAAGATAAAATGCTTGAAACAAAAAAAAGAAAAGCATTTCTTCATTCTAGTGTTAGTTAATACTTTCATACTTTGTTTAACTGAACTGATTATGGAATGATGATGAAAAATATATTTTTAAAAGACATCTTATATTAATGAGTTTATATATATTTATTATCTGTTTCTTTTTATGGAAATCATTCAACAATAATTATTTTTTATTTGTTTATTAAACCAACAATTCCTTTTTTGCAAAGAAAAAAATAAGGTTAATGAAATGTTTTCATTTTTAAAATTTTATTTTATTAAAAAATATTTTGTTGACATTTATGTTATAGTAATTGTCCATTAATCCTAAACAGACTTGAAAATAGAGATGGAAATAAAAAATTAATTGCCTATGAAAATGAGGGAAAGGTTTTAAAAAAATTTGATGCATCCTCTAATGCATCAATTCTTTGTCTATTTTTATATGCCTGCTATGGACAGAGCAAGAAATAAACATAGTGTTGTGCTTCTTTTCTTGAAAAAGCAATATTTTAAAAATCTGATCATCCTTATTACAAATACACTATCATTATTTTTTAAATTTGAAAATTAAATATAAAATAAAAAAATGTTATGGTTTATTGCCTCACTGAAACTCACTGAAATAAATTTTAATTCACAATCGCGAATTTTAAAACATAATAGTTTATATTATTTGCACAGAATATTGTTATACATAAAGTAACAATTTTTTCAAATGTGACATTTGTGTGAGAGATTGTGGCAAAAAAAAGTCAATTATATTAATACCTTAAAAATGGATATACCACATTTTGAAAATACACTTTTCATATATATATATATATATATATATATATATATATATATATATATATATATATATATATATATATATATATATATATATATATATATAATATATATATATATATATATATAATATATATATATATATATATATATATATATATATATACATATATGCTTTTAGCCAGTTTTGTGTGTAATTCTTTATACTAAAAATGAAAATAAAAAATAATTTTGGCAAACTTTTGGGCATTTGAAAAACCCCTGTCTCTTTCAAAATGTTTCACTTAATGTTCCTTAAGTTTCCTAATGCATGATTGGTTGATTTTATCCAAAAGAGAAAGAGCTGCAATCATTTTAGCTGTAGCTGAAGCAATATGTCACAATTCAGAGGAATTATCTTAAAAAGCACAGCAAGCAGATCAGGAAATAAAATTTTACAAATTTCAGATGACTCAGAGAACAGAAAACATTTGGTTTTCCTGCATACTTTTCTATTTACTGGGATTTAAAGCTGGTATCTGAGGTAAAAAGTAACATAGAACACTTGGCTATTGTAGTAACAGGAAAACCAAATTCACTTTAGGGTGTCCTTTAACAATAAAAAAAAAAATTATTAAAACTTTGACGCAGTCTCTTCAAAAAACATTTTTATAATACTTGAAAATTTTTAAATAATATTTAGGTGTCCTTTAAAGGTCATGAAAATGTCTTAAACAATAGTAAAATACAATTGACATCTAATACAAAGGATTGTTACAGACAATTTTTTGATCCTATAATAATTTGTTAGTCAATATTAGAAAACACTTATTAACACTTATACTTAGTATTAGTAGAATCTAGATTCTAGAAATATATCAAAAGATTGGACAACGCAATACTTGATCATCTTTATTTGTCGAGACATATAGAGATTTCTCTTTACAAGAGACATCTTAGAACAGAAAGTGTTGTTAGCTTTTGGCATAAAAACCAAGAATGCCTAGCCATCATCTTTAGACTTGCAGCTGGAAAATCAAGATAATTATATTCATAGAGCCTTTAAGTAGAATAGTGCACCAATAACTATTGTATCGACAATTATTTAACATGAGAACTAAAATTAAAGCTGTTAGCTTTATTAAATATTTGTTACCACCAAAGAGGTCAATCTTCATTGTGCATGCAATCTTCATTGTATATGACCTTTGGAGGACCCCTAAATAATGTCCTAAAAATTTGCAGGTATAACTATGGCATCATAAAAAAACATTCTTGAGGGACTAGTAGACCTAAAGGGAAATTGTTGTGTATGTCTAGGATTTCTGATTCAACTGGGAAAATCCAGGCACTATAAATCAATTAAATAATCAACCAAAGATGCTGTAAAGATCTGCACATTAAAAAAAATACTTGAGGCAATAATATTTGACACAACCCTATCAAAATAAGGTTGGATAAATAGTTCTGCAAAGTTAATTAAAGAATACTTTAATAAGATGTTACTTTCGAGTGCCTGCTACCATATATATGAAAGAATTTTTTTATCTGCTAACATTGAAATGTAAGTTGTTTTTTCGGATCTTGTTTTTTTTTACATAAAACAACATATTTTTGCTAAAAAAAAAAGTAAAAACTCCATTTTTTTGTTGTTATTTTTTTAACAAAGCACTATTTCTTGTTTTTAATGTTGAAATTATTTAAAAACTTGTTAATAGATTAATGAATTTGAAGTAACAATAATGAATAACAAACATTTTGATGTCTGATTTAACAAATTACTAATGTAAACAAAGATGGAAATTAGTTAGTGAAATATTTTGTTGTCATAATTTTAAAAAAAAAACACAAATTTTGAATTTTTTTGGTAGGAAACTGCATCACATTTTAATATTCTCATTTCATACCAATACTTTTTTATTTTATTTGTTATAAAGTTGTTCTTTGGTTTTAGTAGAAAAAATATTTTTTTTAAATAAAATTTGCTTTTAGCAAACAGAACTACATATAAAATTGTTTGAACATTTGAAAATAGTTAGAAATCAAGTCATTTTGGAACACCTTAATATATATTAGGGTGTGTCATACTTTATGATTTTTTGAAAAAAAAGTTTTTCCTATAACCAGGTATATAGAAAACTTGTGCACAACTATTTTAACATTAAAACCAAAAGAAAAACTAAAAATAATTTATGTTAAGCTACCGGGAAGTGTGTTTTAAAATTATGACCCTAACCACAGATACTGTTTTGCGTCCACGCATTTTTATACACAAATAATTGTTTACACCCACTCACGTTGAATTCTATTTGATATTAAAACTATATAAGGTTGCCAATTTATAAATTGTTGAACATATAATTTGTATGTTTAATGTTAAAAAATATTACAAAAAATTTTAAAAATTAAAAAATTATAAAGCGGATCAAAGCTTTCGGAATATATAGGTTCTGGAACAAATATTCTTGTATCGGAGTTACCAACGCTAAAAGATCTTCTTAGATATGGTCTGTTTTTGCAAGAAAGAAACAATAGAAACAAAAGAATTATCTGATAAAATCACTAATGAACTATGTTTACTCAAAATTGTATGGTAAATGGATCCACGCCAATGCTTTATTTGTATATCCTGTAACACATATTGAACATTATATTACTGCAACATTGGTGAATGAATGGAATGCAGCCAACCTGGTTGCTAGGGGAAAAGCAAGCTTAAAGATTAAAGATAGATTTTTGGTAAAACTGCCAAATTGTTTGATATACTGAATTGTAATTGCCAAATTATTACTTGTCAAGAGAAAAATTGTTTTTCAGAATGTAACGATGAAGCCCATATTAACTTTACGTGCGAAAAGAAGAAAAAGATTCCAAAGAAAGAGTTAGCTTTTATACTTGGGCAAAGAGCTAAAATAGGGACTACTGGTCCGCATCAAATTGGATTAGCTGAATTGAAAGAAAACAAAAATCTACATAAAATTGGAGAAAGAAGATTGAAGTAAGAAGTAAGATTTTTTTAGTAATGAATGTTTCACAACAAACAGCAATACTGAACTCAAATCTAATGTGTCGAAAGAATGAAGATTAGAAACGTTTATGAAGACAAGGGAATTATGAAAGTATTTCCAACATAACGTTAGCAAGCATACGGTATGGTACAGGCTTATGGGAAACAGCTGCAATTGCAACGGCAGCTTGGATGGACACAAGAATAGTTTAAGAAAATGATGCCAAGTTGGTTATTGACCACAGCTAAGTCAAGAGAGCTCAAGAAGAAATTATGCAGTCTCTTTCTAGAGAGTTTGATACTCAATGCAGGTCTATCATTATTGATTGTGTTTTTTTTTTGATGGCAGAATTGATAATACAAAAGTTCAATTAGTATTCGAAGGTTTGTCTAAATGTTATCCTGCTACAATCAAAGAGGAACAAACAGTATGTCAAGAGCCCGGTGGTAGGTATCTTTTCCATTTCACACCTGAAAAAGTTCAAAAACATATGAAACACGCTGAAGTAATTGCTCAGAATATATACAAATTTTTGAAAAGTAATAGTGCCGATAAAAGCTTAACAGCAATCGTTTGTGATTCTACTAATGTTAACACAAGGTGGTCAGGCAGAGCAATACATTGGCTGGAAGTAAAGTTAGGAAGTAAGATAAACTGGCTAGTTTGCGCACTCCATACTAAAGAACTTCTTCTGTGTCATCTGATAACAACTCTTGATGGAGAGACTCTGAGCTGCATATAATGGAAAGGCAGCATTAGAAAATTATTAAATGAAGCAACTGTTCTGGAAATTAATCCATCCTTTGAAAAAATTGATGTTGGAAATCTGCTTATTACTCTAAAGGATGAAGTAATCAAAAATTTGTCTCTGCTATTAGAAGTGGAAATATACCCGCAGACTTAGCTTTACTTGAAATTGGGCCAGTTAATCATTCCAGATGGTTGACAACAGCCAACAGACTTTGCAGAACTTAGGTCTCAAAACATGAGTTAGAAAAAAAAAAAATTTAAAAAACCTTAAATTAATAATTGAGTTTTTTGTTAGAGTTTACATGCCTATGTGGTTTAAAATTAAAGTCAAGCACAGGTTTACTTAAAGACCAAGACATATTCTTTACTAACTTAGCCTTCTGAAACATCAATTAACTGAAGTAGTAGAAATTTTTATGCCAACAGTTCAACGTTCAGCATTGTATGCTTTCTCTGAGTGCATCTTACAGACCATGCCATGCTCAAAGAAAGAAAGAATAGTATAGAGTTAATAGTGAAAATCATTCTGGTGATGAAACCGGTTAAAAAAATGCGAGAGCTAGAATAACTCCAGAAATAAAACCTGATACAAAAACGCTTATACAGCGAATCGACTGGAATATATCCTATGAGCCCATTCTTACTTGTGATCTGACAACAGAAGAAGTAAAACAGATAATATTTCAGCCTATGATTGTTCCAAATTGGCCTTGCCATGGACAGTCAATTGAAAGGCGAGTTAAACAGGTAACAGAAGCAGCAAGCAAAGTTTATTCTCAAGAAAAAAGAGATGGTTTTATAAGAGGCCAGGAATCGAGGTAATTGATATCTTTTTCCGCAAATTTAAGTGAATACTTAATATCGACTCCCGGTAGCTAAATCATTTTGGATTTTTAAATCTAAGCTTTTTTTAGTAAAACTATATATAAATACGAGTTTTTAGAAGAGTGGGTTTTTAATCTGGAAAAAAAAGTATGCCACACCCTAATATACATGTGTGTGTGTGGAATTCAATCAAGTATTTCAATTAAGTATAGTACAAAATGAACTGATTTTTTTTTTTGCTGATTATGTAACTGACTATAAAAACAAATAATTCCAATCAAATAAATATCAATAATGAAGTAATTCAATAAAATACATACTAAAATAAACTAATATAATTTTTTATAAATTATTTAACTGACTATAAAAACAAATAACACTAATGAAATAAATATTAATTACAATATGAAAAGCCTCATAGTATTTTTCTATTGTTAGAATAATGTGCATCAAGAAATAATACATCATAAAACAGTAATATATTATTTATGATGTGTCATTGCAAAGCAGCAAACTTATAGACCTTTATTAAACTTTACAAACAAAGATTTTGTTTTGTCAGCAATTTCTGGCTCCAATTTTTCTTTTGACATCTAAAAAAAGAAATAATATCTATAATCAAAACAAAAAAAATAAGAAAAAGAAATAATATCTTTAATCAAAACAAAAAAAAAAGAAGAAAATAATATCTTTAGAATATTAAACTAATAGATTACAAATATTAAATGAACTACAACATTGTTGAAATGTTATAATTTTTAGTAAAAATTTTAAGTAAATATTCATTATATTATGTGTTATATATTGTGGAGAAAAGCAACTATTAACTATCATCTCAAGATTCTAAATCATTGTGGAGAATTCATTGTGGTGATTAGAACTTAGGAACAAAAAAACGCTAAAATGGTGGACCCCCCTGCCCCAAACGTGAGAGCAACAAGTTGATGAAATATTTTTTGTATTAATTTCAACTATACTTATACTCATCAATAAATTTTAAGTTTCATATTATTATCACTCAGCGTTCAAAAAGAATGACCATATAAAATCTGCAGCCCCCTCAAATTGAGGGGGGTTTAAACTTTATATGGTCATAAATTTTGAACGCTGAAATATTTTACTATAAAACTTAAAATTTATCAATGAATATAATTTTTACATTTATCCAAATTCACATTTATCCAAATGAATTATCATCTTAAGATCATGTATCATCACAGAGAAATACAATTATAAGAATTGCCTAACCAGTGCAAGTATGATAAAAAAAAAAATGATGAATTTTTTAAGTTTAACATTCATAGTTCGACATTAGGTTTGAACAGTTATCTATAATCATATCTTCATATTTCTATATGAAACTATAGAAAAGACAAATTCCTCTTCCTGACAACTTCTTTTCAAGTCAGAACATTTATTGTAATACTATCACAAAACAACTGTGATATATAATCGCTAGGAACCACTTATATTTTTTTATGTTTAGTTATTTGATTTATATTTTGGATTATAATGGACCTCCATAAAACGCAGCAAAAATTCTTTTATAAGTGTGTGGGTTTAATAAAATTAATATAAAATAAATAATTTAAATTAAAATTAAAAATAATTAAGTTGTTCAAAATTCTTTAAAGGATTTTTACTATTTGCTCTTGCCTTTACCCATAATAAAATAATGAATGTTATATCACAGTTTTTTTCTCAACGTCACCACAAACAATATTTGTTCACAAAAAATTTGTCAGTAGAATATTCTTCTGTCTTTTGCATGTTGACATTTAAATAACTTTTACTGTTACAATTAGCAAATGATATTTTGTTAAAATAATATAATTAAGTTCAATAAATAAACTTACATTCTTGTTGAGAATTTATATATATATATATATATATATATATATATATATATATATATATTTTTTTTTTTTTTTTTTTTTTTTTTTTTTTTTTTTTTGTGTACCAGATGACTTTTCCTAGGTGAGCCTTCATCATGACTAATGTGAAATACACAAATCAATTTAGATATTTTATATCAGATACCTTCTCTTAGGTGTGCCTTCATCATGACTATTTTGAATACACAAATGATTTTAGATATTTTAAATCAGATACATTTCTAGGTGAGCCTTCATGTGCAAATGATGCAATGGTAATGGTTTAAAGATTTTGATAAAAAAAAGACAGAAAAATGATAGTTAATAATACATCAGTAAATATAAAAATAAAATTACCTTAGATTGCTGTGGAAATAAAGCTATAGCAAATGGTAAAGCTAACCCAAATGACATTGTACACACAAAAACATTTACTGGAAAAATAAGCCTGCGATGTTTTGTCAAGAAACGAGTTCTAAAATAAAATATTAAACCACTATAACTCTTTTGTGTTCTTTTTTAATGTTTAGGGAATTATATATAAAAAAAGTTTGAGGAAGTTTTACATAATGTTCAGCGAGATAAACTTTATGTAATTTATGACACTTTTTTCCAAACTTTATATTAAAATGAGCTAGTTTTTATTTTTTATTCTAAACATATGTATACATGATCCCAAATGTCGACTAATTTTAAAGATCAATTATTTTTACGCAAAAACGCAAAAAATGTTTACTTGACAGTACACATAACTAAAAAAAGAGAACGTTTTAGATTGGTTGAAAATGTTAATGTAATCATGCAAATGATTACATTTACATTTAAATTACATGTAAATATTTTTCAAATTACATGTAAATTTCATAAAATTATATCTAAATCATTTCATGTAAATGTTAGGGGATCGAATTAACAAACAATATTATAAATATGGTAAAAGTAATTTTAGTAACCAAACTTTATTAATCTAATTTTAATAATAAAAAAAAAATTTGTTAAATATGAAGAAATTTTCAAGTTTAAAACCTTCTGTTATAGTAAACAGTATTTTGAAATCACTTATTGTTGATATTGAAATGTCTAATAAGTTATAAAAATGATGTTGTGGTAAAGTGGTTAAAACTGTGGCTTAGAACCAAGAGGTTCAAGATTCAATGCTAGCTCTAGTCCAATAAACAAAATTAATGAAGAAGCATGAACTTCCTAGTTGAATGTTCTTCCAGGATGCTCTATGATAAGTCTGTAAAGACTTCTGGGAGCATCTTAATAACCACAAACAAAAAAAAAAGATAAACAAGTTATAAAACATTGAATATAATACAGTAAAACATATAATAAAAAACAATTTGTTAAGTAAAATAAAGATAACTAAGATAAATAAAGATGAAATAAAATATTTTGTATATTACAAATATTTAAATATTTATTTTAAAACTATAAGTATTTAAAACAACTTCAAATACTAACACTCCAAATACTATCAGACAACCTTAACATACAGCTTTTTATGTAAAGCTTTTAATACTTAGCATAAAATCAATAATCTTTTAAAAAAACTAACAAGATAAATTTTAAATGAAAAAATTATTTAAAAAATTATGTAAAAAATTATTTTATATTATTGTAGTATTTGTTTTATTGGTTTCAATTTCATAAAATAACTTATAAAAAATAATTTATTACACAACAAAAACTCTTCTTTTTTTAATTTAATATTATTTAAAAAACTATCAAATACAGATATAGTACAGTATGTATTACATAAGATACAGATTAAGGTTTGTAAATTTACAGACTTTTTCATTTATCAGTAACTCGTTAAATGAAAATTGAAATACCGGTATACAGGTAAAAACTGGTATACAGGCAAATTTTTGACTATAAATAGTACAAATATAGCAATGAAATTTACTTTTTATCAAATACAATTTTGTTTGAAAACAACTTCGTAAAAACCTTAAACTATCCTGTGTCTTATTCTCTAATCAAAATTTAATTTTAGTGATTAATAGCCCAGCTCCTGAAAATACTCTTTTACATTCACTGTTTGTAGGACGAATGGTCATCAAATTATCAAAAACTAATTGAATGTACTTTTCTTGTATATTTTCTTCTAGAAAGTTCCTTTTTTTATTACTTATTTTAGACTTTTAGTGTTCTTTTTTTCTAAAACTGACATTTCCTGATTCATGTCTGTTTTTTGTAAGAATATGAAATTCTTCCTTTATAGAAAAATCAGCATTTGGTTGAATAGTAATGATGCCATTACTCAAATTCGAGTATCAAATTACTCACTATCAAATTATTTGATGTCAAAAACAAAACAGTATTTCACCTACAATGCACTTAACTCCATTTACCTTTTGCTTTGTCAATTCCCCGCAAAAACAACATTGCAATGCAATCCACCACTGAACTAAAGATTTCAGCAAACTTGTCTAATAAACAAAGTTAATAAAATTAACTTTGCAATGTTTCTAAATGCAATGTTCTCAAGAAAAAAAACATCAAAAAATCCTAATAACTTTATTCAACTTTGAAATAAATTATTATATGTTCACTATATACAACACCCAACTGCAGTATTACAGGCCCAACTTAATTGAACTTAATTAAAATATTCTATTTTCACTGTATTCAACTTTTAGTTACAATATTTCAATTATAATTTACGTAAAACTCAATTGATATATTTTATGTATAACAAAAATTTTTAATATAATAAAATAACTCACAAATATTATAAATAGTATTAAGACAAATCGTACAAAAATTGTACATTGACCTGCCGATGCATTGACTGTTGAACTTTTATTGTGCGTTGTAAAATACATTTGTCAAAAATTGATTATAGTTGAACTTTTATTCAACTTTTTTACATTTTTCTTCTATATTTAATAGATTTATACAAGGCATATGAAAGCAAATCACAGAAAGCAACTTTGTAAAAAAAAATCTTTAAAAATGACCCTATGTGCTTGCGAATATTAAATTAATAAATTAATCTTTAATAATAATTTCATGCTTATATATACCATACTAATTCATGTATACTATTGTATAGGGCATACTACTTAAATCTAAACAAAAAATATAACTAATTTTTGGTCAAAAGTGACCTTGCTTTCTTCTACATTGTAGCAGGGATGCGGAGTCCCAAAAGGACTCTATAACTTTATTTTTTTATGGTCTCTGGTGTCCAGAACTTTAAACAAGTTGGTTGATTAATGATCTGCTATAAGAAAAAAAATTATGATATTTAATGACTTGGATTTTACTGCTTTTAAACCCGGAGTCCTGGAGTCCCAGAGTCCTTGCCGCCATTATACCTAAAGACTCCAGTTTCAAAAACTGATTTTTCTTCTGACCTATAAGTCGTGATTTTTTCCCCATTAATAGTCCATAAGCTTTTTTATATTTTTTAAAGCTCCTGGATACCAAAAACTAGAAAGAAGTAATCTTTTTGTGACTTTCAAATTCAGAGTCCTTTTTGGAGCTCCGCATCGCTGCAGAGTAAAACAAGACATTTTTTATATCTCCATATTATATACATGTGTAATTTTTATAATCTTATTAAATTTTTTTATCTTGTATTTATATTATGTATTCTTTATATTATACATGTAAGTGTTTACTTACTTTTCAAGCGCAGACATAATTAATGGTGGAAATATAAGAATGGGAGCTGGTAGAAATACACGCGATAATGCTGTCTCAAATACTGCTTGTTTTGCAGCTATCTTTGAAACTCCAATAACATTACCATTTTCGTCTTCAACATCAATACCATCCTTTAGTTCTCCAGAACGCATTATGCAGACATTACAGATATTAGCAAGGGCTAAAATAAATTAAAAAAAAAAAAAATTTAAATAAAAAACCTTGAAGACAAAATTCTTTGAGATTGAAGACTGTAAAGAATTATATAATTAATGTTAATATTCTTTAAATTTAAAGCAACATTTTAGAAAATTTAGAAAAGAAAGAAATAACAAACTGATAAATAGCAAATATGACACACAAAAAAAAAAAAGAAGAAGAAAAATGGCTATTGAAATATTAAAATTAAAAAAAAAACTTTTAAAAGTAAAAAAAGTAAAAATTAAATTTACATGTTGCAGGGTAAGCAACAAATCGAGATGCAAACAGTTTCATTTCAGGAGATAACCGACTTTTCTTTATAACATAGCTAAAACTTAACTAAATAAAAATAAGTTTGATTCAAAATTACAACAATTACAAGGAACCAACAATAAAACATGGATAAAACAATAAAACATGAAAACAACAATAAAAATTGCATACAACAATAACAAACTGCATACAGCAATAGATATAGCACTTGCAACAGCTGCAAAATAACTTTTAATGAAGCTTGAAATTGCAGTTGCCTATTAAAAATTATATAACTTAAACTCCTCTAAAAGTACCATCTTTTGTCTTGAAGACTAAAGATAAAATTATTTTATTAGCAGAATTTTATATTTATACAAGTATATAAAAATATTTTATACTTTATAAATTCAAAGATCTAACATACTATCAAAGAACTTGTTAGTGTCAAAGATCTAAATGCTATCAAAGACCTGTTTAGTCTCAAAGATCTAACATACTATCAAAAACCTGTTTAGTGTCAAAGATCTAACATACTATCAAAGACCTGTTTAGTGTTAATGACCAGTTTAGTCTCAAAAAAATAACATAGTATTTATGAAAATAAATATTATTATGAAAAGATCCTTACAATATTGAAGATCTGATGTTTTTTTTTAATTTTATTTTTTTTAAAATACAGTTCAACACCTATAGTTTCACACCTGTAGGATGTTGATTATTCCATAACAATATTTTTCTTATCTTTTATATGGCATGGATGAGTTGAAGCGACTTCTTACAACCAGATGCTCTTCTTGTTGTTAGCCTACTTTGTGACACTATGCATTTTTATTGTGAGGGCAAAAGTAAAGTACTTTTATTAAGTGGGTCACCATATAAGATAAACTAGCTACTACTACCCTTATAACTAGAATCATAGTATCAAAAAATAGAAGAAACATGTGCATACATTGAGATCTTCTTGTTTTAAATACTTTCCTAAAGTCCAAGTTTTTGATTAAAGTTGAAATAAATTTGAATGACATAAAATTTAAATAATCAAAAAAAAAATAAATGTCTGTAATCACTCATTCTAAAGTAACATACCTATTTCATTTAAAAAAATGTTTACTAAAAAAACAATCAAGCAATCAAATGAAATTAATTTGAATGATAAATTTTGAAAAATTAGTCAATAAACAACTACAACTTTTGTAAATAAACAACTTCAACTTTTGTTGTATTATCAAAGTGTTCCTAGAAAAAGAATTTGGGATAAACATAACTAGTAAAAAACCACAATGTCAACATACATTAAATAAATTTTATTTTCTATTGTTGATGTATTTTAAAATTTTCTGTGTTTCACATATTGCCACAATTTTATTACTTAATCTTGCATGCGTTACCGCAATTTTTTATTGGGTGCTTTATAGATTACTACAACTATGATGCTCAATATTTCATACAAATTACTACAATTTTGATGCTCAGTGTTTCATACAATTTTGATGCTCAGTGTTTCATACATTACTACAATTTTAATGCACAGTGTTTCATACATTACCACAATTATGATGCTCAGCGTTTCATACATTACTACAATTTTGATACTCAGTGTTTTATACATTACTGCAATTATGATGCTCAGTGTTTCATACATTACTACAATTTTAATGCACAGTGTTTCATACATTACCACAATTATGATGCTCAGCGTTTCATACATTACTACAATTTTGATGCTCAGTGTTTTATACATTACTACAATTATGATGCTCAGTGTTTCATACATTACTACAATTTTGATGCTCAGTGTTTCATACATTACTACAATTATTAGGGGTAGGGATAAATTTTACAATAAGATCTTGTTTAACAGCAATCAAATTTAAATTAAAAAAAAAAAAACAGCAAAAATATCTGACCTTAGTTGCATTTCGGTTTGCATAATTGACACAAGCATTATGACTTTGATTCAACCACTAAGATATAAAGAAATATAAACCCTAAAACATATCTTTTATAGACTATTGTTAAAATCATATATATGTATGTGTGTATACATATATATATACATATATATATATATATATATATATATATATATATATATATATATATATATATATATATATATATATATATTTTGAATGTAGACATCATGTATGAGAGTATGTAAATTATTATTTTATAAACATCAATAAATACGATTTTCTCTCAATGCTAAATTTATTTTCTATTTTTTATTTTTTAAAAGAAATTTTAGCTGGATTGTTGTGACCAGCGTCTTCAGCTTAAAAGATTTGTTTGTTTTTGTTTATATGTTATTTTTAAACGGCAATTTTATTATATGTCAATGGAATGGTTTCGTTTTTTTCTGACGTAAGTGCATTAGAAATGGTGTCCAGAATTTTGTTGTCACATATTGTCCCTCATCTAAATTGATACCACTTTGTTGAGGGGCACATTGGTGGTACTGTATTTCAAGCGCCTCACGAACTTTCCTATCAAACTTTTTGTTATTGACTTTTAGAGTTCTGCAACTGTCCCAGTTAATTTGTTGTGCACATTGTTTCATGTGTGTGGCTAATGCTGATCTTTCTGTTTTATTTCCTATTGTAAGACCGTATTATAAGACCGTTTTATATCCTGCCTTCCTAAACACTTTACGCAATTTGGGAGACAATATTGGTACCCAAGGTAATGAACTTGTTGGATACGTACTGGTGATGTTGTCAATGTTTTTAGTAGTCACTAGAGGTTTTTTGTACTTTCGTTTTATTTCTTTTATGATTTTTATGAGATTGGAATACTTGTAACCATTTTCGACAAATACTTGAATAAGGAATTTCAGTTCATTTTCTATATGTTTCTGACTGCATACATTAAATGCTCTATGTACAAAACCCTTGAATATTCCATTTAAAATTTGTAGGTCATGGTTTGATGTTGCCTTAACTTGAATGTTAGTAATTGCATTTTTTCTGTGTATTTTAAATTTGTATTTGCCATTTTTGTTATTTATTATGTCTAGAAAATTTAGTGTTTTTTTGTCATTTTCAAATTTGATTGTATATTGTATTTTTGGATGCTGTTGGTTAAGTATTGTCTTGAATTGATTAGCCTGGGCAATGTTAGGGACTCTAGCATGGCTGTCATCTACGTATCTATAAAATGATTTTATGTCAATAATCGGGTTGGTTTTCAGTGCTATATTAAGCGCTCTTTTTTCAAGATTTTGAAGAAATCATTCAGCTAAAACTACTATAAAAGAAAGACCTATTGGACCTGAATTTTCAAGTTCATGTATTTTATTGTTCCATAAAAAGTATGGTCGGTATAAACATAGTTCTATCAGAGTTTTTATTTCTTTTATATTTAATTTTGTCATTTTTTTAAAATTATCGCTCACCTCCAATATACTTATGAGTACATCAGTTGCTTCTTTAAGTGGAATTGACGGGTATAAGTTTATAACGTCTAATGATATCTGAATTTCGTCACTGGATATGTCCCATGATTTTGCTTTTTCTACAAATTGTTGCCAATTTTTTAATCGAGTTGGGTTTTCATTTAATATTGGTTGTATTAGTTTTACTAAGTAATTTGAGATTCCATAGTTTGGTGTGTCTATTGTAGATACTACAATTCGCATTGGATAAGATTTTTCAGGTTATACATACGAGGTGGTATTGGGTCACTGGGATAAATTTGCTGATATTCATCTTTTGTGAACCGACCTTTTTTATTTAATTTCGATAGTTAGACTTTGATTTTCATTGCGTAACTTTGTGTCGGATCTTCATTGATTATTTTAGTTAGCCGAATTTGTTCTCGAATCTTTTTTATTGCTTTATCATGAGGGATTGTTACAAAACCTATTCCTTTATCAAATGGGTATATATCAATATTGTTATCTTTTACATATAGAAAATGGACTGAAATTCCTTATTCAAGTATTTGTCGAAAATGGTTACAAGTATTCCAATCTCATAAAAATCATAAAAGAAATAAAACGAAAGTACAAAAAACCTCTAGTGACTACTAAAAACATTGACAACATCACCAGTACGTATCCAACAATTTCATTACCTTGGGTACCAATATTGTCTCCCAAATTGCGTAAAGTGTTTAGGAAGGCAGGATATAAAACGGTCTTCAAATCAAACTTGAACCTAGAAGCAATATTGACTTCAAGAAATAAATCCAAACTACAAAGGAACAGCAACCCAGGAGTTTACCTTATTAAGTGCCATTGTAACAAAAAGTATATTGGTGAAACAAAAATGCAAATAAAAACACGAATGCAACAACACAAAAACAGTACAATAGGAAATAAAACAGAAAGATCAGCATTAGCCACACACATGAAACAATGTGCACAACAAATTAACTGGGACAGTTGCAGAACTCTAAAAGTCAATAACAAAAAGTTTGATAGGAAAGTTCGTGAGGTGCTTGAAATACAGTACCACCAATGTGCCCCTAAACAAAGTGGTATCAATTTAGATGAGGGACAATATGTGACAACAAAATTCTGGACACCATTTCTAATGCACTTACGTCAGAAAAAAACGAAACCATTCCATTGACATATAATAAAATTGCCGTTTAAAAATAACATATAAAAAAAAAAACAAATCTTTTAAGCTGAAGATGCTGGTCACAACAATCCAGTAAAAATTTCTTTTAAAAAATAAAAAATAAAAAATAAATCTAGAATTGAGAGAAAATTGTATTTATTGATGTTTATAAAATAATAATAATAATAATATATATATATATATATATATATATATATATATATATATATATATATATATACATGTATATATATATATATATATATATATATATATATATATATATATATATATATATATATATATATATATATATATATATATATATATATATATATATATATATATACAACCCTTGGAATTAGGGTCGGGATTTGGCAATGCCGACCTTGTTGTTTTATGAAAGACCTTTTAGTGTTTGAGGTTGGCAAAAAATTTTTTGCCGACCTCGATGTTTTATGAAAGACCTTTGTATCAAATTTTTTTTGCCGACCTTTAGAAAATTGAGGTCGGCAAATTTATGCTGAACTCAATTTTCCTAATTCTGAGGGTTGTATATATTCCTAATTTTGAGGGTTGTATATATTTCTAATTCTGAGGGTTGTATATATATGGGAAAACTACATACATCGACTATCAAATAACCTGACTTGCAAGGGAGTGCTGCAACATCGACTTGAGGGTTTGTTTGGGGTCAGCATCAAGGTCAGACTTGGGGTTAGGATTATGGCGAGGTTTAAATATGGATATTTTACTTTAATTAATCATTTTTGTAAATAGATGGGAAAAAAAAGAAATATAATATATAATAAATAAAAATAACAAAAACAAATATATAAATAATAATTTATATTTTTATAATAAAATAATAAATTTAAATATGTATATATAAAAATATAAATAAAATAAAAAGTTTAAAAATTATATAAATATGATAAAAATAAACTCTGACTAGGAGCGTATATATACATATAGAGGCCTTGTGATAAAACGTTATGCAATTTGCAAATAGCAATTTTGCATACACTATTTATATTGCACTAAGAACCTTCATTAATATTTAAATAAGTTTAAAAATTCAAAGAGATCTTAAAGCCATGTAATAAATGAAATAATGAACATTTTAAAAACCACGTATAATTGTTGTGTATAAGCCATGTATAATTGTTACAAAATTTTGAACAACAATTACATAAAATATACTCATTAAAAATAATGTTTTATTTTTACTAGCAACAGAAAAAAAATTTGTTGATTCCTTTAAATACAACAACAAATTAGTTGTAAAAAATAAATTAAAAAAAAAACTTAATTTATTGTCTTGCAAATAGATTTTATTCAGACTTGATTGGTTTTATATGTAACATATTGTTGAGGTATGGGAACAACAGCCACAACCAGTAATTATAAGACCTCAGTTATTCAACCAGTAGTTATAAGACCTCAATTATTCAACCAGTAGTTATAAGACCTCAGTTATTCTAAATTTTTGCTGCTTAATTTAAAAAAGAAATATATCTTTTTATTTAACCAAAAAAAGTTAATAAACAAAACTTAAACAAAAAATCAACTACTTTCCTAAACAATAGGTTATATTTATTACCTAAACAGTAGGGCATGTTAATTTCCTTTTAACTTAATGACACTTTTAATAATTAACTACATAGCATTTTTTACAATTATGCACGCTTGAAATAACCTAGCATATACAAAAAATAAAAATATAGTTATTGTAATATCTGAATTTATATTTACATGAATAATAGAAGTTAAGTATTTAAAACATGGTTTTAGTATTTAAACTTTTAAAACCAGGTTTAAGTATTTAAGTTTTTATAACCAGGTTTAAGTATTTAACAAATTGTGGGTTATACATTAAGTGCACAGAAATTTCTGTAAAATAAAAAACTTTATTATATCTTTTATAAAAGGATTATAATAAAGAATCATTAATACTTTAATTATTAATTTGTTAAATGTATAATCTGAAAAAGGTCTTATACACTTGAAAATATAATGGAAAAAAATAAATAATGGAATGAAATAGATAAAATGGAAATGAAAATATAACGGAAAAAGATTACTTAATCTTTTTCTGTAATATTTTTTAACATAATTTCTTATTTTTAAAAAAAGTTGTCTTTGCTTGAATTTTCCATTACCATTTTTACATTAATAAATTTGTACAAATGCTTAACAAGAAATAAAAAGAATGCAAAAATTAACTTTAAAAAGCAACTCTTGGAGTAAAAACATACTGTTGAAATTCATCTACAGTGTGTAAGGTAAGTAAATTAGTTTAACAAAAAAAGGACTGTACCAAATGTAGAGAAATAAATAAACTATTTTATACTTAAAAAAACTAGAGATAAAATACACATCCTATAACATTTGCATAATAACATTTCTACATGTTTTGAGCTAATTCTCAATTAAATTGATTTTAAGGAAATTTTGTAGCTTAAAATTATAGTAGAAATTAAAAAAAGTTTCTCATTTTGAAGATCTTTAAAAGGATTGTCAATTTCACCCAATTGGGTAGATTTCTGCTTTCAGAAATCTACCTTTCAAAAAAACTATTAAAGATGGGTGTAGGTTTTCAGAGCATTCCGCCAGTTAAACATCAGTCAACACAAAAACAAACAATTTTTTTCCATTAATTAATAAAAACTAATAATTTTAACAAATAAAACATTAATAATACGTGTTTCAACTGATTTCTATTCATCTTCAGTTTGGTTTAAAAACTTATTTAATTTTGTAAACAAATATTATATATATATATATATATATATATATATATATATATATATATATATATATATATATATATATATATATTATATATATATATACATATATATACATATATATATATATATATATATATATATATACATATATATATATATATATATATATACATATGATATATATATGATATATATGATATATATATCATATATATCATATATATATATATATATATTGATGCGGTAGTGGTGTAGTGGTAGAGCGCTTGCTCCATAAGCAAGAGGTTCCATCCCCACCACGTAGTACTGTGTAGTAGTACTGTGGTAGTACTGTGCTCAACTCATTTTTCCGCTCAGCGGCCTTGTTCTTCAAGGTTCGTATTTCGGAGTTAAGAGAGGGTTATAACCACAAATAAGTAGCCTCCTTGCTTACAGTGGCCTTCTTGGCCTTGAGGAGGTGAATTAACAAAAAAGTATATATATTTATATATGTGTACATATATACATATATATATATAAATATGTATATATATATATATATAAATACATATATACATATATAAATACATATATATATATATATATGATTTAAATGTTGACATCTTGTACGAGAGTAAATATATATATAAACTAATTTAAAACATCAGATAATACGAATTCTCTCAATACTAAATAATTTAATTGAAATTTTCGCTGGATTATAGACACCGGCATCATCAGCATATAATATAATATAATTACAAAAATTGTGACCGTTAAATAACAACAACAAAAATTTTGACGTCACCTTTATTATGGCTTCTTTTACCTAAGTATGAAAAAAATTTACATGTGTTAAACTGACAAAAATTACAAATCTAAATAACATGGAACTTTTATATATGAGTTGAAATATGAAAATATGAGTTTAAGGTTTACAGGAAGGATGCAATAACCAATATCCAAATCAAACCTCATTCTAATCATGATTCAAAAATTTTTAAAGCAATATTCAACGGATACATACATAGAGCATACTCAATATGCAGTGAAAACAATTTAAAAGATGAGATAAATTTTTTAATTCAAGTGTTTACTGAATATGGATGCGATGAAAAAATGCTTAAAGATATTTCTGATCAGGTTCGAAAAAAAAACGTTTTGCGAACAAAAATGAAATTCCATCAAACTCTAGTAACCTTCCTACAATCTCTTTACCATGGATACCAATAATATCTCCCAGACTTAGAAGAATATTCAGAAAAGCTGGTTACAGACTGTCTTTAAATCAAATGCTAACCTAAAAAGGCTATTAACGTCTAAAAATAAGTCTAAATTACTACGCAACAGCACCCCAGGAACCTATTTCATTAAGTGCAAATGCTCCAAAGTATATGTTGGTGAAATAAAACTTCAAATATGAACAAGGGTTCAACAACACCAAAAATTTTTGACAGAAGGCAAGTTAAACCAGTCTGCATTAGTAAATTGTAATGAGGACATTGAATGGAATAAATTAATAACACTTAAAGTTGAGAAAATTTGAAAGAAAAGTCCGTGAGGCCTTGGAGATACAAAAACATCAATGTTCTCTAACGTACGATGGTACGAATTTGGACAATGGACAATATTTAAAAACAAATTTTTGGACTTCATTTTTTTTCATACTTAGGTAAAAGAAGCCATTATAAAGGTGCTGTCAAAATTTAAAAAAATTTTTGTTGTTATTCAACGGTCACAATTTTTGTAATTATATTATATTATATGCTGATGATGCCGGTGCCTATAATCCAGCAAAAATTTCAAATAAATTATTTAGTATTGAGAAAATTCGTATTATCTGATGTTTTAAATTAGTTAATATATATATATATATATATATATATATATATATATATATATATATATATATATATATATATATATATATATATATATATATATACATATATATATATATATATATATACATATATATATATATATATTTATATAAATACATATATATATATATATATATATATACATATATATATATATATATATATATATATATATATATATATATATATATATATATATATATATATATACATGTATATATATATATATATATATATAAATATATATATATATATATAAATATATATATATATATATATATATATATATATATATATATATATATATATATATATATATATATATATATATATATATATATATATATATATATATATATATATATATATATATATATATATATATATATATATATATATATATATATATATATATATATATATATAGAAAGAGTTTTACCATTAAAAAAAATCTAGAAAACTTTCTAAATGACACTTACTTTTCAAATGCTTCTTGTTCTATTCTATTCTTCTATTCTATTCATCTATTCTATCTATGAAATGAATTTTAAAAAGTCAAAAA